CGGCCGTCGTCCAGTACCTGGAGGAGCAGCGCCGCAAGATGCGCGAGGCCATTGACGCCGCAAGCTCGTCGGCCGGCCCGTCCTCCGTTGAGGCCTCGGTCCGTGGCGCTGTTGCCGACGTCGAGGCCCTCCAGTCGACACTCGCCGCCGAGGACGGAGCCGCTCAGTGAGGCCTGGCCTGTGAGCGTGCAGTTTGGGCAGAGTGTATTTCGCATCGCTGCCGAGGCGCGCAGCCGCCGCTCACTCGCCACCGGCCGAGTAGCCGAATAGCACGCCTAGAATGGCGTCCCACACCCAGCGCAGCGATTGCCAGATCCGGAGAATGAACTTGTCGATCTCGGTCGGCGCTCCGGGGAGCGTCGTCAGCGCCGGCGGCGGAAGCATGCCCGGCACCACCACCACCGCGGGGCGGCGTATGTTCAAATCGGTGGTCGAGGCAACAACTACCACAGCGCTCCGTGCTGTAGGCTCACCCTCGTCCTCGTTGGCTCGCACCACTTCATCGGTCACGCTCGCCCGGTTCGCCTCCACGCATTCGCGTATCATCGGCTCCGGCGCCGCTGGCATGCACTCGGCCAGCACGACAACGCCCCCTGCCGCTGCTGCGCAATCGTCGGTCAAGCCTTCGCCGCACACGTCCCCGCCCTCGGCCGCTTCAGGCTCCACGCCAGGCGGGCCGGCATCAGCCGATGCCCCGGCGAAAGAGTCGCCGTTGGCCTGGCCAGCAGCAGCAGACCAGGCAAAAGACCACCACGACTCGCCGCCCGTCGGCTCGGCGAGCGGAGGGTCCAGGCAAGCCTCTGCATGCGAGGCCAGAGGATCAGGTCCACCCTCGCCGTCGTCAAGGTCAAGCACCACCCAAGCATCGGCGTCGGCACCATCGTCGGCATCACGGTTGAGCACCAGCTCGGCCGCGGCCGCCGGCGCGCTGGCGCCGTCTTCGGCCGTGTTCCCGTTCCATGGAACACTCTCGTCAGGTGCGTGTTCCTCAAACACGGTGGCGGGCGAAGGGCCAGGGCCAACGTCACGAGCCTCATCAACCCCCTCGTCGAGCTGCATCGACCGGTCGTTGTTGCTACTCATGCCGTATCCTTGTTCTACGCTGTGCCGCTTGTTATCGCGCTTCTTGGGCTCCTCTTGCTCCTTCTGCTTCGGCTCGAGAGTGAGGCGTGGCCGAATTCGTTGCTATCACCAATTTTTTCCCCGGCACGAGTGCCTTGTGCACGCCTGCCGAGCCATGCTCAGGAGCCTGCACCTCGCCCTGTGCCCGTGCGCCCGCATTGCCGAGCTCCGCTGCCTGCCTCACACTGCTCCATCTCTTTGAAGAATGCCTCGCATCATGTCATGGGTGCTTCATCACATCACAGCCGATCAACACATGCAGCCGCCTTGCCCTCATCGCCCAACCGTTCGACGCTGTAAGCTGCGACGTCATTCGCGCAATGAAGCTCGCGCGGCCACATTACCTGCAGCAAACGTACATCAGAGCAGTAGCAGAACACACTCTATCCACAGCTCCACTGCATCCATCATCCATCGCTTGAAATGATTGAAATTGACGACGTCAGACCGAAACCTCACGCACTCAACGCATCCACCCCTCCGTTCTCCTCTCCCCCCTCCTCCCCCCCCTCCCTTCCCGTCATACACACAGACACATATATACAACCATGGCTGACGACATGGTGCGGGCCGAGACCGAGCTGGGAATGGCGCTCGAGGCGTACCGAGCGTCGCTGAGGGAGGCCCGCGACCGACAGCGGCGGCTGGAGAAGGCCCTCTCCAACGCGAGCTTTGAGCTGACCCGTGCACGCGAAGGCGTGGCCATGGGCATGGGCTCTACAGCAGAGGCCGAGACATCAACTAAGGTGCAGAGAGAGGGGAACGAGCAAGGCAGCGGTGCGGCAGAGGCGGCGCGGCAGAGCCTCGACGAGGCTGTGGCAAGAGCCAAGGTGGTCCTGCCCCGGCCTGGCGCGCTCTACTTTCAGCTCATGGTCGGCTCGGTCAACATCCGGATGATTGGCGAGGACGAGCGGTGGACGTTCAAGGAAGAGTACGAGTGGTTCAAGAACGTAGCCATGCAGCTCTCGGTCTTTGTCACCCTACTGGTGTACTGGGTCAATCGTCCGTGGCTCGACACCCTCTTCCATGCCCTCGTCCTCTACTATTACTTCTCCATCACGCTCCGCGAGCACATCCTTCTGGTCAACGGCTCCAACATCCGCCGCTGGTGGCGCCGCCACCACTACATCACCATCCTCCTCACCGCAGTCCTCCTCACATGGCCGCCCAAGTCGGACTCCTGGCATCTGTTCCGCAACACCTTTACCGGCTTCATCATCTACATCGGCTGCCTCCAGATGCTGCAGTACCGCTACCAGCGCGCCCGCCTCCAAGTCCTCCGCTCACTCGGCCAGACAGAAGGCACAGACGTCGTTAACTCGGACACCACCCAGATGCACTGGACCTCGTCCATGTTGTTCCTTCTGCCCTTCCTCTTTGTCGGTCAGTTCTTCCAGCTCTACATCGGCTACTTTCTCATCGCCCTCTTCCGCACAAGCCCCTCCATCGAGTGGCAGGTCCCTGTTGCAGGCGTCCTTTACATAGCCCTTGGCATCGGCAACCTCTTCACCACCCTTCGCGTCGTCTACTTCCGCTATGCCGCTGCCACAGACGTCCACGCCTCTCGCGCCCGCCGCGCAAGTCAGCCCTTCTCACCCCCAAGCTCCGCTCCGAGTAGTCCATCGCATTCGGTGGCTGCTTTGCCGCTTGCTCCGCATCAAACTCGCCTCGTGACCCAGCTTCCCCTCCCCCCTCCCCTTGTGTGCCGTCGTCATGGACGTGCTCGTCACCACTGCCATGCTGGCAGCTAGCGGTTCGCCAGTTTCGGTGATCAACCCATCCCCGATGCGTCTCACCACTGGCGCCCATCTCACACTTCCTGCGAATGTACGCTCACTTGCGGCCCTTGTGCGACACGTGCTAGCCCTGTACACATCGCCGCAGCAAACCAAGGAAGATCAGCTTGCCCATCGCAGCCGCGGGGGTGGCCCTCTTGCCCACGGTCTCTCCCTCGCCGCGATCTCGCCGGATCTAGCAAAAGGTCGTGAACGGCTTGCCGCCGACTCGGCCTGGGCGACTGCCGATGCCGCCGCCGACGAGCTGGTAGCGTCTCTGATGGGGTTGAGTCCTCCCACCAGGGCAGCGGATGGGCCAGCACTCCTCCTCTTTGCGCCATGGTCGGTCCCAGTCGCCCTTGCCGCCGTCGTCGCCTCGGTCTTCCAGGCCGCTGCCGCCGTCCTTGACGCACCCGCTCTCGCCCGCTCGCCAACCGCTGTTGCTCTCCTTCTCGACGGCGCTGGCCCTTGCAACCGCGCGTCAGTCATCGACGCGCTCCTCGCCCATGTCTTTCACACCTTTACCCCTGATCAAGTCGCAGTCTTCAACCCAAGCACTCCGCTGCCGGCCCGAGCCACACTTCCGCGCGTCGCCATTGTGATTGCAGCTAGCCATCGCGGCCTTCCGGATCTTGATAACCTCGTTCTCGTGCACACCGTGGTCTACGCCGCATCCGCCCGCGCACTCGCACCACGCATTGCCCACCTCGTTGTCGCCCATGGAGTTGCTCTCGGCGGCACCCCGGGACCAGGTATCGACGCGCCGTGGGCGCTCGTCGCCGGCCCGACGCCGCGCTCGCCTGTCTTTGCGCGCATCTGCATCGTCGTTGTCGTCGCCACCGCTCCGGCGCGCGCCGCGTTCGCCGAGCTCACCACCGCCGGTGCTGCTGTGCTTGACATGATTCAGGACCACCTGCCCCGCAACGCTGGCGGTGCAAGCTTTGGTCCCCGCGCAGGCGACTATCTGCGCCATCTCGTGGTCTCACTTCGCCAGGTCGGCGAGGCGTCGGTGCCGCTGCTTCCGGCTGCCGGCGTGCTTGTTGTCCTCGCACAGACACTCTACGCCTGGTCATCAGCCGGCTGGTCATACGCATCCGAGGCACTCGAGACCGCAACGAGCGCGCTTGTTGCTGTCCATCCGATCCTCAGCTCGACGTTTGCTGCCTGGCGCGCCATTCTCGACGCTGGCAGCGAGGCCGATGTCAAGATTGACGAACTGACCAAGCAGCTGGAGGCGGAAACCCGGACCTCAACCGCGATCGTCGTCCTTGTTGCGGACGACCACGCGCGCGTCGGCCTCGAGACAGAGCTCAGCCACATCGCCGCCTCGCATCCGCACTGGCGGCTTCGTGGGATGCACCCAGACACGCCTGCCTATGCACCCGGCTCCTCGCTCGTCATCAACGCCATCGCCGCCCTGCTCGACGCCCGCACTCCGTCAACCTCACTCATTGTTGTGGCCCAACCGAGCCACGTTTCGGCGCTTGTCGTCCGACGCCTCCTCGCCCCAGCAGCCTTTGATCTCGCCGTCTGGTACGATGCCGAGAGCGAGGCGGCTGGCGCCACCGCTGCCTTTCTCCGCACCGCCATACCTCGCCACATCGAGCTCCATGGCGAGGCGCTAGCGCGCGACTCGCCATCGCTGCAAGCCTCCTTGAGGTTCGCCTCGGACGTCGAGTCAGTCCTGGAGGGTCTTGTCGAGGACGGCCACAGCCTCGTCGACCTCGATCCGCGCCTTGGTGCTGTGGCTGTTGCGGCCGAGCCATGCGCGCCGCCAGCGCCAGCTCCTCCGCAACCCGAGCAGGATACCGCAGAGCCCGGGCCGGTTGACACGCCGCTTCGTTCGGGCCCACCGCTTCCGACGATGGGCATCGTCGCGTCGTCCGAGGCCGTGATCGCGCTCGGCCTGGGCGGGTTAGACTTGTGGCGGACACAGTTTGGCCTGACTGTTGCCGCTGAGCGCGACGCGCTGCCTGCTGGCGTGGCCTTTGTCCTTGATGAAGGCTATGCAGTGGCGATGGTCGACGGCTGGCAGTTGTCGGGTGACGCGCGGGAGCGCGCGGCCGAGGGCCGCCGTCTCCAGGCCATGGTTTCGAGCGCCGAGCAGGCGTACGACGAGCTGGCGGTCCTGGTGGTCTTTGGGCGAGTGGGCGCTCGAGCAGCCGAGCCGTTTCCATTTGTTCCAGCTCGAGTCCGGGCGCTGATGGCATCGTACGGCCGAACGGCGAGGGCACGCAGCGTGCGAGTCGAGTTTGTGTGGTGCACCGGGCACGCATCGATGGGATCTGCTGTGCGGTCGCGGTGCGAGGCGCGCGCGGCAGTAAGCGCTCGATGGGCGGGCTCGGCCGAGGTCTGGGCCTCACGGTCTTGGCTCCTTGCCGAAGAGACGACGTCGGAGCGGGTTCTGTGTACCCTCTCGCCGGCGCTCACCCCGTTTACCGCCCAAATCGCACTCACATGGTCCAAAAGCCTCGCCGACTTTGCACTGCACGACGAGCTCGAGGCTCTTGTCCGTGACTTTCCGTGGATCCCGCGCAAAGTTCTGGCCGTCACGCTCCGCTGCCTGCACGGTGCCAAGCAGCCACTCTCGCCGCCACGCAGCGCTAGCCGCGAGGAAGGCAACGACAGTGGAGGAGCTGGCAGCGGGGAGAACGGGGGCGGGGGTAGTAGGCAACGACCGAGCGGGCGCAAGCGAGTCCGTGCCCCGTCGCCGGCGTCAGCGAGCCTGCAACCGGCGGGTGATAGCGTCAGCAGCGGGAGAGCCACGCATCAGGGCGGCAAGTGGGCGCGGACGCTCGGTTTTCGGCCGCGCGACGGCGAGCTTGGATTTGCAGTCGAGAGCTGCAAAGCCAGCGACGACGACGGGATGCGGCAGACGGTGCTTGTGTGGCGGTCAGCAAGCGCCAGACATCAGACCGAGTAGGGGAAGAGGAGCGCCGGAATGATGGTGTGCTCGGCCTCGAGCTCGAGGGCGGCGATAAAGCACTGAGCAGCGAGGGTGTCGAGCCCGCGCGCGGTGGCGACCAGGCCGAGCTGGTGCCAGGCCTTGTAGTTTGTCGGCTCGATGCGGAGGAGGGCGCGGAGCGGGAGCTCGGCGCGGTCGGCCTCGCCGGCAGCGTTGAGGACAATGCCCTGATGCAGGAGCGCGCCCGGATGCTCGGGCTCGATGGCGAGAACCCGTTCATACTCGAGGATGGCATCGGCAAGCTGGCCCTTTTCCTCGAGGATGCGGGCCGTCTGGTAGAGCACGCTGGAGTTTTGGCGGACGTCGCGGAGGGAGGTCGCCTGCTCGAGCGAGACCAGCGCCGATTCGTACTCGCCGAGCCGGCGGTAGAGCGCAGCGAGCTTGCACCAAACAAACAGCTGCTTGTCGAGCATATCCGCCCGGGCAAGCGAGAGCTGCGAGAGCTGTGCCGACGCCACTCCGGCAGCTCCGGTGCCGCGGCCGCGCGAGCCGCCCGGCGCCGAAAGCGTCGACGAAACGTGAGTCAGCACAGCCGAAGAGCCAAGGAGGGCGGTGAGGTCGGCATTGGGCGACGGCTTGGTTGGCGTGTTGCCAAAGGCAGCTACAGGCGTCGATGAGCCCGACGGCGACGGCACGTCGACGGTGTCACGGAGCTGCGCCAACATGGCTGGCGAGATGTAGCCGATCGACGAGGTGCGGGCCGACGAGAGCGCCGTCGCCGATGGCGAGCGCCGCATCGACGAGGCCGCCTTCTTGTCGCCGATCGAGAGCGAGCGCGAGATAGTCGAGTGCGCCCGCGGTGCGAGATGAGTGAGCGACGGAACGTTGCCAAGCTCATTCAGCGAGCCGGCGTCCTTGCCAGAGTCAGAGAGGGCGGCGAGGACATGAGAGCCTGCCCGGTGGAGCTTGTTCCACACCCGGATGATCTCCTCAAAAACCGGCAGCGCGCGGCGGCCGCCGTGCAGGTGCTCGACAATGTCGGCCTTGGTCGCCAGCATCTCCAGCGAGTCTGGGTCTGCGTCGAGCCCAGCGTCGATGGCCCGCAGCGCACCGCGGTAGTCCTTGATGCCGGTGAGGAGGACAGCAAGCAGGTGCCAGCCACGCGACGACGAGCCGTCAAACCGCAACGACTCGCGGATGGTATCGATGGCAATCGGGTAGTTGCGGAGCTCGGTGTGCAAGAGCGCAAGCGAGTAGAGGACGCCCGGCGAGGTCGGATCAAGCGCAACCGCGCGCCCGAGCGTGTCCAGCGCGGTGAGATGTGCCCGCTCGCGAGTGCTGTCGTCGCGCGCCTCGCGTGCCGCCTGGGCATACAGTGCACCTTGAACATGGACGGCGACCTTGAGCAGCGCCTCGGCCGGCGGCTCCAGAGCGGCGAGACTGTCGGACGACACCGCCTTGCCCTTGGCCAAAAGCTTGAGGCCGCGCTTGACAGCTCGCAGTCCGAGCTGGGTATCGCCGAGCCGGTTGAGGTGGAGCTTGGCCTGGAGAACCCGAACAAACGGCGATCGTGGCTCGAGCTCGGCTGCGCGCTGCAGAGTCAGCGCCGCGCGCGCATGCTCGCCGGCGGCCTCGAGCGTGAGCGCGTACTGGATGAGGAGGCTCGCGTCAGTGGCGGCGTGGGTGAGAGCAAGCTCGAGCGACTCAGCCACCAGCGCGTGCTGCCCGGCGAGGAGAAAGGTGAGGACAAGCTCGGGCACACCCGGGTTCTCGTTCGCAAACTCGAGCGCCACCGAGTTGAACGACGATGCCTCTAGCGGCGCGTCGTCATGGGCGGGCTCGTTTGAAACAACCTGGTGCAGCAGAAGCAGCAGCGCAATCTCCTCTTTCCGCGAGGCTGGCGCAAAGACGCCTGCCGGCGCCTCGACCACGGTGTAGTCGGCGTCGGAGACTCGCGAGACCAGCGCCAGGCCGAGGGTTCCGGCGCACCGCGCGTGGAGCCGGAGGCTCATCACTTTGTGAAAGGTCAGGAGCAGGGTGCGGAAGCCCGGAAGCCAGTTGGCCACGGGCATGCCCTCGTGGAGCAGCATCCACGCCTCCAGATACGCGAGCTCGGCCACGGCGGCAGCCACCGCCGTAGGAAGCGGCGGGACCCGCAGACTGCGCAGATCCGGCGATGCGCCCGCAAGAGCCAACCCAGCCGCCAGCACCTTGTGCACACCCTTTGCAATCCGCTGCAGAGCAGCGGTTCGGCTCTGACCAGGCGTACTAAGAGCGACACATATCCTGGCCACCACCAGCAAAGCCACGCCCTTGAGCCGAGTCAGCAGGGCAGACGCACCTTCTGGCGACGATGGAGGAGATGGCAGCGAAGCGAGCAGCTTGCTCTCATCCAGGCATACCAGCGCGCCCGAGTCATCTCCAGCAGCATGAGCGATGCGTGCGCGAATGACAGCAATGTCCTGCAAGGAGAGGGGGGGAGGGGGTAAGTGACGGCAGGAGGA